GACGAACCAAAATTTTGAACATGATTTTGACTGAAATAACTAAGGTCGTGAGTCAATTTTCTTAATACGTACGTTTGAGAGTCATCTGGTGATTTTGCACCATATATAGATCTATATAAATAGTACTGCATGCATAATTATCTGGTGTATTTCACCAGGTGCAGCATCGACAAAATCGTATTTCATTAAGAAAAAAAAAAATAGCACATGAGTGATTTGTATTGTTACCAACAAATTGTCTCCTTTTTTTTTTTTTTTATCCTAAAAAAAAAAAAAACAAATTGTCTCCTAAACAACCATAATATTAATTACATTTATATCCGATTTAATCAAATTAAACGACATCGCACAAGACATCAACGCATGATCTCGACAACTAAACATCTTCCCTTGATTCAGAAATGTTGTGTGTGTATATAAAATATATATATTTATATAATAATAATAATAATAATAATAATAAAATAATGCTTAGCTATATTTAGGTATCATGCATCAAGCGCCTGTTACTAAATAAATGAGCAAGTTGGGTGAGCTTATCACAGCCTTTTTTGTAAACGAAATTGGGGGCCTTTGTGTATGTGGGTTTCATTACATTAAGATAAGCATGTCTGCATTACTATATATTTATTATTTTATTACAGGTAAGCAGTATGTTTTATTTATTTGTTTAATTAATTTGATTCTGGTATATATATATAATTAATGATTATATTATTATCCCAGGGTTATGGGATGGGATATACGAATTAATTAAATTTATTAAGCATATAGTATATTGGTAATTATGAATTCCTTATCCATGCAATAAAATCTGTTGAATCCGGTTTTCGGCCCACGGTTTTGATTTAAATTTTAATTATTTTATTTAATTTTATATTTTTTTTAATTTTATTTTCTCAATCACCCACTTTTAGGTAACATGAACAAGTTGTTCCAATTTTTCATGCCCTGAATTTTACGTAAAATAACGAGTCCCGGAGGCAGGTTTTCCCAGTTCCCATCTCGTGGGGCCCACATGCTCAAAATTTAATATTTAGTCCTTTATTTAATGGATTATTTTAAAAGATTAATTAAATTAATACTTAATCTTTTTTTATTTATATATAATTATTTCTTGAGGAAAACAACGATGAGTTTTTCACGTATGCCCATGTTGTTCACTTCCCGCGGAAAAGCTGGATTTGGTCTCCTTGTTAGTATTCTTTATTCTATATTTTATTATTATTATTATTATAGGATTTGATTAGTTGTGGATGAATTTAATTAATTAATTTTTAATTGGGTGATACGAACTCTTTTTGTGGGCAATTATTCAAGAAGTAAAAGTTGTTTGATTTCTTATATAGATTATTTAATATATTATTCCGCAATAACCCTAATTTAAAATTGTTAATTCGTGCTTGTAAATGTATTGGGGACAAAATTTGTCTTCTATTTGTTAGTGATCAGTTGATCGTATTATCATCTTAGACCTCGTTTAGTTGAGGTGATTAGCCAATATTATTTAATTTGATGTTTGGTTGATTTAATAATTTTTCGTGTCGATCTAATCCGAAAGATTATTTTTATGGGTAAGTTTCAACCGTCTCCTGAGGTAATTAGGTCTATTCATGAAAGGACTATTCTCTTTTTCATAATTACATAAATCCCCGATATTTGTAGATTTCTTACATTAACATCCTTTTGTAGGGGTGGATGTAACAAATTTACACACTATAGGTGTTTGGATGTAATTTCTAAAAATAGAAGAGATTTTCTTATTTGCCTTAGGGAGGTTGCTTTAATTTAACCATTTTTATCATTGCCTATCATACTTTATTGGGAGAGTATTAAAATTGGATTTAAGGAGGTAAATTATTGTGACATGATATGATGCAATAATCACAAAATTATCCTTTTAATTTTACTCCTTTCAAAATGTATTTTTTCATGAAATGAAAAGATAGTTAATTAAAAAATAATTAATTAACAGCAACATATATAATGATCTACATATTCTACACGTGAATGGCTACACTCGCTAAAATATATGTACAATTTTTAACATTTAATTCACACACAATCATATACACATATTGATGTTGATGCGTACAAAACGAGTTTATATATCCAGCTTGTAACATAGAATAAACCGCGTTATACATATTGTATCACTTATTGTTACTGGATATATGGAAATAACTTTCTTACTACGTAGGATAAGTTTTTGTTTCATTCTCTATTTTTAGGGTAACTACTATATATACAAATCTTTATTATACTAGATAGAATTATCTATTATATACACACAATTTCAAGAACTCAAGTGGATGCAATGAATCACCCATTTAAAGAAATACATGTTGCACCAATTTAGGTAACTAATAATGAAGTTCATAGCTCTATTATTTGTGTCACGTATTGGACGGTTCAAGAAAACATTCCCTTTTATATTTATTAACAAATAAATATAAATAAAAATGCATCCCAATTGAATGGGTGAAAAGGGCAATAATTGATCGATTTGGTATTTAGATTTATGAAAAGAAAATGGATAAAAAGGGTATATAACACTTTACCCCTGGTGGTTTGATTTGTTTGCACATTACCCCCTTTACTTTTAATATAATTACATAGCCCATTTGTTGTATTTTACTTGACAAATAATCATGTTCATTAGAAGAGAAAATTTGAAAATACAAGGACGTTATGTACGTATATTCAAGTACAAGGAGTTATGCATGTGCAAAATATTAAAAATAAAAGGGGGTTATGTTCAAAAAACCAAAACACAGCGAGATTAAGTGTTAAAAAATGAAATGATCGATGCCATTATGAGTGTGAGTTTTAATTTTAAAAAAAATGCTATAATGATTCTCAAAATAAGTGTGAATATTATTAAATAACAATTATAATAAATATTTATTACTATCATTATAACAATTTAATTTAATAAATGTTAATTAGGAGAGTCACGTCACCCGCTAGCTCTACAATGTCTCCATCATTTCCTGAAACTAATAGTCCGTTAGAACCGTAACAGAATAACTTATCTAATACATTATTTCGTTGGGGTTTCTAAAAATATTTCAGGGGTGATTGTAATTACCAATAGTAGAGGGACCTTAAAGTTATTTTAATATACCTTAGGGGTACATGTGTAATTTACTCTAATAATAATAATATTTAAAAAAAAAAAAGTTATGTTTGACATATATATGTATTTATGGTACACCACTTTGAAGTGGCAAGTTGGCAAGTAGTGGTAGCTAGTGCAGCCAATTAATATCACAAAACACCCTCTCAAATTTTAGTCTCTCAAATACACCCAAAGGGTTCCTACAAACAAACAACACGACCAAAACGGTCAATTTCTCCAATATATTTATACATATAGTTGACTAATCAAATCAAAACTTTATGAAATTATCAAAAATAAAATAAAATAATAAAATCAAACTTTACGCGGCACCACGCCTTTTCAGTTACAACTCGAGTCATGTTTCCACATGACAATTCATTCCTTAAACCATGACGTAATTAACACTAAACACACTGCTAAACTAATGACGTCCGTTAGAGCAATGCTAAATATCAAAATTGAATTATCAAATATTTATTTGATATTTGAGATAATATTTTAATATTAATTAAAAAAATTCTACTCCAACCATGGTTATCAAATTAATTATCAATTGGAAGTTTATAGGTGATTTTATTTGTAACTGCCACATGTCCACTTTTAATTGGATATTTAGATAGTTATACTTTTGATAACTCAATTTCCAGCAAGTATTTTTACATCCCAAAAGTTGAATTATCAAAATAGAACCCTAATTTGATAACCCCATTGGAGTTAAAAATTTCTATTTTTTTGGTATATAAATAGTGGTTAATGGTTTGAATACCATGCTTGATAACCCAATTGGAGTTGCTCTTATTAGAGCAACTCCAATGCTAAATATCAAAATTGGATTATCAAATACTCATTTGATATTTAAGATAATATTTTAAAATATATTTAAAACTTATATACTCCAATCATGGTTATCAAATTTTATTATCAATTGGAAGTTTTTTAATAATTTTATATGTAATTGCCACATGTCAATTTGTGAATGGATGGTTAGGTAGTTATTTTTTGATAATTCAATCTGCAGGAAATAATTTTAGATACAAAGAGGAGAAATATCAAAATACAAACCCATTTTAATAACCCATTTGGAGAACAAAATTTTTAAATTTTAGGAGTCAAATGGTAGTTAAGAGATTTAATAACTCGTTTAATAACTCCATTGGAGTTGCTCTTACATCATCAACCACAACCACAATTATTAATTAATCCATCATTATCGTTGTTGTCATCCTAATCAAGGACTAATCCACAAGTTCATCCATTAACGAAGTAGTCATTCATTTTGACATCCAAATTTACTTCTAATTTTTTTTTTTTTTGCCTATTTTAATTCCAAGACCCATAAAATTATCTCAACACTAATTAATTAGTAAAATTGTTTTTTCCTTTAATTTATTTATCATTTTATAATTTCACTGATGTATTAATTGTTTTTTCTTAATTTTTATATGTAATTATCACTCTTAATTTATAGATAATTACTTGAGAAAACAATTATAGATTATTATTATTGTAGTCACTTTTTTCATTTATTAATTTTATTAAAATATGTATAGAGTCAATTGGATGAGACTTTATTTATATCCAACAAACTAAACCCACAAAAAGTATACTTTGAATCGGGTAATTAATATAAATTAGGTGGGATGAATGGTGGCTTAAGCATGAATTAATTAAGGATAATAACCCTTGCTTAAAGTTGAAAAGCATGTATTAATAATTAGTTGATCATTTGGACCTTCAAAAGTCATGCCTAACAAATCACAATCTGGGCGGCGTGGTGTTTCTTAAATATCATAAATGGCCATCTTAATTAAACATTTTTTACTACACAATTAATAATTAATAATTAATAATTAATAATTAATAATTAATAATTAATAATAATAAACCACGTTTTCATAACTCTACAGCAGATTCCCGCGAAATATCCTTCCAATCACGTGCTTTTTAATTTTAGCCACCAAAAAATCTTTCACACACGTTTGCGTCACCTATACATACACTGAATCCACACACACCAATCCTCCTATAAATACAATTCCCCCAATCTTCACACACTTCATTGTTTTTCTCTCTCTCTCTATTTTTTCTTTAAATTAAAATTAAATTATTCAAACAGGAATCGAAGAAAAGAGAAGAAAAAAAAAACCCAATTTTTGATTTGATAGATATGGATTGGGTGCGCGGTGAAAAATTGGGTCATGGGAGTTTCGCCACCGTGAGTCTGGCGGCGCGGAGGAGCTGCGGCGGCGGCGAGAGTGCTTCTCTGCCTCCATTAATGGCGGTCAAGTCTTGTGGGGTTTCTCACTCTTCGTCTCTTATGAGCGAGAAGCTTATTTTGGAGGAATTTGAAGGCTGCCCGGAAATAATAACTTGCTTCGGCGAGAGATTTTCGAACGAGAACGGCGAGAAGTTGTATAACGTGCTGTTGGAGTACGCCGCCGGCGGCTCTCTGGCAGATAAGCTCGAGGGTTCCGACGGTCGGCGGTTGCCGGAATCCGAAGTCCGGCAGTACACCAAGGCTTTGCTTAAAGGGCTTCACTATATCCACAAGTATGGATACGTCCACTGCGATATCAAGCTTCAGAACATCCTCCTCTGCCGCGACGGCGGAGTCAAGATCGCCGATTTCGGACTCGCGAAGAGGGCCGCCGCCGTGGGAGGCGATTCTCGCCGGTGCGAGCTGCGGGGGACGCCGATGTACATGTCGCCGGAGATGGTCTCCGGCGGCGAACAGGGTGCTCCGGCGGATATTTGGGCTCTCGGGTGCGTGGTGTCGGAGATGGTCGCCGGATCTCCGGCGTGGAGATGCTCCGACGTGGCTGGGCTTCTGATGAGAATCGGCGTCGGCGAGGAGGTGCCGGAGATTCCAGGAATCTTATCAAAGGAAGGAAAAGATTTCCTCGGAAAGTGCTTCGCTAAAAACCCCACCGAAAGATGGACGGCTGAGATGCTCCTAAACCACCCCTTTGTCCAAGATCAATATTCCGATTTCGGCGGCGCCGCCGCCGAAGAAAAGATTAAGACAACCTCAACTTCTCCGAGATGCCCATTCGATTTCCCGGAATGGGTTTCGTCAGCTGCGTGTTCAATTACGTCTTTGCCCTCGACGGTTGATTTTCCAGAATCTGGCCTATGGTTCACCGAGGAGTCAATTTTGAAGGAAGGGTCGTCGTGGTGGTCCTCCACCGCTTCCACGGCGGAGCGGCTGCTTGAGCTGGTCACCGAACAAGTACCTGATTGGTCTGTTAGCGACGATTGGGTCACCGTCAGGTGACGGTAACGGAGATACAAATATTTAGTCAATTTTTATTACTAGGAAACAGACAAGTCAGCATCAGATTTTTATTTTTTTTAAAGATCTTCTGATTTTCTGATTAGATTTTTCTTTTTTTACTTTATTCACTTTAATTTCAGTTATAAATTTGTGTAGATACATAGAATTTAAGCAGAAAAAGGCTCCAAAATCTGAGCCGCAGAGTGTACAGTGATATACTTTAGTTTTGTAGTAAAAGATTGCGGTATGAGATTAATTCATTTAATATAATTTATTCTATTTAATTTAATTTAATTTGTGGTATAAAAAATTAAAATATGATGGAATTTGTTGTGATAAAAGAAGATTTGAAGTATGGTGGTTTAATTTGGATGTGTTAGGCAACTGACAAAGCAGGCCTGATATAATCCCCAATTCCCCACTGCTTTAGTTTCTGATTTTCTGGGCTTTCTTTTTGCTGCTATCTCTTTTGCAACTTGCTACTTGCAATTTCCATTTATATATATATATATACTTTAATGAAAATTTTATATTTTATTGTAATTGGCAAAAATATTTAGTTTCTTGCACCCCAAAAAAAATAGCACTAAAAATATTAAATTGCATTTATTAACTTTAAAAAATCATCCAAGTTACATTATGCATGATTTGTTGTGTTTCGAGGGTACAAAAATGCAATTAATGTTTTTGTGAACGTGCAAAGTGCCAGGACGGTGTATTTCAAGTGTGCAAAATGGGACTGAGGTCTAGGGGTGGAAACGAGCCGAGGTCGCCTTATTTCGTGAGCTCGAGCTTGACGAGCCTATTAAGCTCGTGTGTTTCTAAGGAGCTCGAGCTCAGCACTACCAATTTTTTTCACACTTAGAGAAGTAATATTTTTTTTATGTATTATTAATAATATCCATTATTATATATTATTATTATGTATTAAAAATTAAATATAGAAAAAAGGTAAAGCTCGCGAGCCGGCCCGTGAGCTGTCGAACAACTGAAATAAAGCTCAAGCTCAATTTTTCGAGCTCAAGTACGAGCTTTTTTCGAGTAAGCTCCGAAAGCTCACGAGCCGGTTCGACTCATTTACACCCCTACCGAGTACAGCAAATCATAATATTTTAAAGAAGAGTTTGTGAAATTATTGAGCAGTTAATGAATTGAATTGAATTGCCGACTTGATCTTACTTATGGAGTAGGTAATATCAGATTCTGGTTAAACAATATATTATTTCAAAATTAAAATGTTCACCCCTTTGTTTCAGTATTTTTAGCAGATTAATATTGAAGAAATATATTAAAATATACATATATGTGACACTATATATAATAAATGCTGTGAATGCAAGTTGCCCCACTATATGGAATTGGGACAATAACATGTTGCAGTTCAGAAATCAATGACTGAAGCAAGTTCATGTTTTATTAATTGCAATTATTTGAGTAGGAATAATGTTTTCTTATTCATCCAACTTGATACTTATATTGGAAATAACAGATTATTTCCTTCAACTTATGTCTTCAATTCTGAAATATTATCTTATTACTCAATAAATAAATAAAAAAGGAAGGCCCTTCACTTAATTAATAAAGCATGGGAAAATCTAGAGAGTACTTTCACCTCACCACAACAGCCGAAGCTACTTACCGTTCCACCCAAAGATCGAGGGAACAAGTATAACGACTGCAAAGTATGTAGCACCATGGCGTAAACGGACAACTCTAAATAAACCCAAACAAACTATAACCGCCACATACTTGCCCAGCATAGAATAAACGAGAACCTCCCTAGTATAAAATACTACTAAAATACACACTTCCGAAATATGTAAAAGCGTTAAAAAAAAACATGGTTCCTATATGGAAGAAACGACGAATTTTTCGGGATGCATGGCCCACCTTGAGTGGATCACCAATGTTCCTAATATACATATGTATATAAAGTTCTTCGTATTTAAACCAATTTTTATTTGATCATAATCTTATAAGCTTGATGAATATCTTCAATTGAAAGGAAACTTTGGTACTATTGTAACTTAAATAATCATGCCTTAGCATTTAAGGCTGCGCCTACAAATTTACTTACAAAGAGATAATAATTTTTATTTATTTTTTTGTCAAAAGGGGCTCTGAAAACAGAATATTTCTATTGGGCACCATTCTGGCCCAGAAAGACGAAAGTCCATTCCAATTTACAACTTTTAATATTCTATACTAAATCCACATTGTCCATTTCCTGATTTAAATTTTCTTTTTCTTTTTTTTTTCCTAAATAATATCTCTTATAGTTGGGCTTCGTTTACTATACTAGCCCAATACATAACTATTGGCCCAACTATTTGCTCTATTTCCAACTGTCATATTATCGGCTTTTAAGTTAATATATTATTTTTTTTCTCTATTGGAATTTAATTTATTTAAAAAAAAAAAAAAAACAGAATCTTTGTAATAAGAATTCCTCAAACAAATTCATATTGACTTTGGGAGATTTTTATTTTCTTGAGAATTCGTAATTAAGAATGACTTGAAACATAAATCAAGGGCCTTCGTTTTGAATGTTATGCAAAATTCAAAACCAAAAAAGATAAATAAATTAATGTCCACACTTGACTTCGGAACAATTTGGATATAAAGAAATAAAATGGGCTTGGATAAAAAACGCCCACGTGCCCCCTAGGAAACTTGCAAAAATGAGCGTCGGTGAAAGGTTTTCCAGTACTAACACTACGACAGTTAAATCAGTACTATAAGATTATAGTAAAAATAAGTGTGTATTAGAATACAAAAGAGAGTCTTTCCTGACATCTCAAGATCGTATTTTGTCGTAGAGATGCCCCCATACTTTGTTTGTGGTCGGATCACACGTGGAAGTGATGACTATTTCGAGATGTGCTTGTCTGTTGAGGGCGAGTTTGTTTTCGTTTCGTTTATTGTGTGATTGCTTCCTTTTGAGCCACGAGTGGGCCGTACCTCGATCTATGTCATGTTGCAAGTTGTCCGTCCATGGACCGAATGTGGTCACATATTAGGCAAAATGGGAGTGAGTCTGAACTTTATTTGTAGAATTCGAGTTATTTGAACTTTTAGGTAAAATCATGTTTGAAGTTAAAACGGTATTCTTAAAATTGAAATGACATTTATCACATTCCTAAAATTATATTACTCTCTGTTCCATAATATATGTCTCTTTTGTTCCATATGATCTGTCACTTCGCAATTCCAATGCTGTATTAATTGCTTATTTTTCAATTTTACCTTTATTAACTCTCTTCCTGCATTAGTTAATAAGCAAGGATATTTTGGTCCATCAATATCTATTTTCCTAAAATCAAGACACATTTGTTGAGATTTTTAAGATTTGTGTCAAGGTGAAAAACGAGACCTATTTAGAAACAGAGGAATTACGTATTTGAAATAAAATGTTAAATTACCTTTCAAACCTTAAAAAAATAAAAATAACAAATAACAAATCGCCTACATGCATAAAATTCCGCATGTACCTGTATTCTCATTGTCCGAGAAAAGACATCCTCTGTTATTCTAGAAGCTAATATGTTTCTTAAAATAAATAAATATATAGTTATAAATTTGAAAAGAAATAAAGTTATATAAAAAGGCGTACGTCTCTCTCTTTCTCAATAACATCGATCTCCCTGCAAATTAAATCGTTCAACCTTCTCCAAATGCAGGCACGCAAAAAAACCTTTTTTTCCTGGCAGCTTTCTTCGTCATAATTAAATTATTAATTACCTTTTCTGAATCTATTTCTATCATTTTAACGTTTATTTTTTAATTTAATTTAATTACAGGGTGTCAATTTTCTTCCCATAAAGTTGTTCTTCATCGCAACTTTCCTCTTAACCTATTCTTCTGCTCTCAAGGTAATTTTTTTTTTTTTTTTTTTTAATTCTTGCTCATATGTATCATCGGAAACACATTTATTAAATAAATTTTAAATTAATAAACAAATTAATTTTCCGTGATATATATATATATATATATATATATATATATATATATATATATATATATTGGCAGATTGGTGAAACATGTTCAGACAGTAATTGCGACGCCGGATTAAACTGTGGCACTTGCCTTGCAAACGGCAACACCAGACCCAGATGCACCCGCATCCAGCCAATTATTCCCACAACCAAGGCATTTTTCATATTTCATATTTGTTTTATATATATTTTTTTTAATTTATGTTGAATTTTGGGGTGTTTTACGTATTGAATTTTGGAACAGGTCAAAGGGCTGCCATTTAATAAGTATTCATGGCTGACGACCCACAACTCGTTTGCTCGAACCGGGTCAGCATCTGGTACCGGGTCGGGTCTTCTCGCCCCGACTAATCAGGACGATTCAGTTTCCGATCAACTCAAGGTACACACACCGTACATGTACAATTTCATTTATTTTATTTTACGAAAATACCCCTCTAGGGATGTTAAATTGGTAAAATTGAACTGAAATTTCGGTACGCCAACATTTCATACCGTTTAATATATGATTTTGTTCGGCCAATAACCGAATTACATAAATTTTATGTAAAAATATTTAAAAAAATGAGTGACTGTAATAATACAAACAATAGGGGTTTTTTCATAAATTAAAATTGTAATTTAATTTGAATTTATGGTGTTTTGAGTAGTAGTAGTTAATAATTGACTGGAAAAAGAGTATACCTTGTGCTGCGGTAGTTGAAGTTTCAACTATTTCTACCTAATAAAGTGACATCAATAATTACATATATATATATATAATACATATATATGTGTCTTTTTTCTGATAGTTATTATTACACATAAATTATAATTGGAAAATTGGACCTGTTGTTTGCTACAACTTTAATACAAAATAATTAGGTCTAGTCTAGTTAGCCACTTGCTACTCATTAAGTTTTTTCTTTGATTAGAAACTAATCAACGTGTTTAACGATATCAAAAAAAAAAAAACTGCTAAATTAAAATTACGATAAATTAGTTTTTTTACATTTTTGTAGAACGGTGTTCGAGGATTAATGCTCGACATGTACGACTTCAACGACGACATTTGGCTGTGTCACTCCTTCGGTGGCAAGTGTTTAAACGTGACCGCATTTGTAAGTATATATTGTAATTGCTCTCGATTTCGCCCCCTAATTCGCTTAATTTATTGCCGTTGATTGCTAATTCAATGTTTAAATTTAATATTTTATATATTTCCAGCAACCTGCGATTAACGTGTTGAGAGAAATCGAATCTTTTCTCAAAGAGAACCCTTCGGAAATTGTGACAATATTCATTGAGGACTACGTGACATCCGAACAAGGCTTGACAAAAGTGTTCAATTCATCTGGGCTCAATCAATATTTATTCCCAATTTCTCGAATGCCTCAAAACGGTGAAGATTGGCCGACGGTGGATGATATGGTTTCCAAGAATCAACGGTTGGTAGTTTTCACCTCGAAATCATCAAAGGAAGCTTCAGAAAATATCGCCTATGAATGGAAATACGTCGTCGAAAACCAGTGTGAGTAATGCGAGGCCACACACAATTACTCGAAAAATATATAAAATACTAATATTTTTTAGAAGGGGGCCATGACCCCCCTGTCGGCCATGTGCTGGCTATGCCACTTTACAGTTTCTACATGAGATCAAATCTTGAAAACTTATCATGAGTGGTCATATTATCAAATGTTGAGGCTCGATAATTTTATTTTTTTAACGAATTAATTGTCGAAATGTAATGTTTTATAAATTCAATATGCAGATGGAAACGATGGAATGAAAGCTGGTTCTTGTCCGAATCGAGCGGAATCTTCCCCTATGAATACACTTTCGAGATCTCTTGTTCTCGTGAATTACTTTTCGACGAACCCTAATATAACGGGAGTTTGTGTGGATAACTCTGCTGCGCTGATTAGTATGACGAAGACATGTTACGAAGCAGGCGGAAAACGCTGGCCCAATTTCATTGCAGTTGATTTTTATAAAGTACAAAATGAAATCTCTATGAATTCATATTTGACTATAAAGAGAAAAAAAAAATTGAACTTAAAATAATTATATTGTTTTTTTTTTCTTTCCGCAGATGAGTGACGGAGGCGGAGCTCCGGAAGCTGTTGATCAAGCAAACGGGCATTTAACTTGCGGATGCGGCAACATTGCCTACTGCAGAGTAACTTTTTTACCTTATTATATAATTCGAAAAATTTAATTTCCTATATATATATATATATATATATATATATATATATATATATATATATATATATATATATATATATATATATACAAAGATTTATATGAAAATATGGCTGCAGGTAAATGCAACATTTGGTACGTGTGATGTACCTGTGCTTTCGCCTCCACCGCCAGCTCAGCTATCGCCTACCGACCAGATTGGAAACAATTCTCCGATAAGCAAACCTCTCTATCACCATTGGTTTATTTTGACAATCTTAGCCATTGTTCTTATCTGGCTCTAATAATGTGGATGCAAATTAGTTAAATTGTAATTGATAAATAAATTAGTAATATTTATATATATACAGACCAAATGTATACGAATTTCAGAGGGTATATATGAAAGATTTCGGCTGTGAATATTATATATCGGAAAAAAGCCTCGTCTGAATTTTTTCGTCTGATCGATACACATTTCAGAGGGTATGTATATATGAAAGATTTGCGGCTGATCAATAATTTAATCAACAGATTAACAATAATTAATTCGTAAAATAAGTTTGTTTACGGGAAAACAAACGTACAACGACACGTAAACAAGTTGTTCAATTCATGCCCTGCACATGAGATTTAAAACATCAATTTTTTTTGGCCAAGTCCTTTTTGTCATGCTCTTGACGTGCATTGTTACTTTGCGTGTGTGCGCATGCGCGTGTGTGTATATATACACGTATGTAAGTAATTCAATATACAAACATACAAAGATCGGAGAAATTAATTACTAGGATGGATCCAGCACGAGAGACGATAAACGAGAATCGGATTTTGGTTCCGGTTAGGTTTTGCAGGAAAGTGTGGAAGCTTCTGCAGTTGCTGATTGTACGATGGGAGCTTCAAGGAATCGACCCTCAGTTTGTACTTCTTACATCCTCGGATCAAAATGCAGATCTCACTAGCTTAGTTGTATTGTGAGACCGGCCCCACTTGTTATTAAAAAAATAATAAATAATATAATATATTGGCAAATATGGTCTCATGTATGTATTGGCTGAATTGCTCGTATGATTGAAAATAGATGATGAAGAAATAAAGCTCATAATCTGTTTGTAAAAGCTTCTCAAACACTACAATGATAATAAAAAAAAGGCAAATTATGACCACCCTTGAGGTATGGCTAAATTACGTAAAACCCCCTCTTGTTTGGGTAATTACAACCACCCGCCTTTTAAATATTTTTATATAGAATTTATGTAATTCGGTTATTTACCGAACCAAATCGTATGTTCAGTTCGGTAACCGGTATGAAATGTTGGCGTACCGAAATTTCGGTTTCGATGCAACATCCTAAATTTATCTCTGAAGGCGTTTTTTTGTAAGATCATATATAGTTGAGAGGGGTGACTGTAATTAACCAAACAGAAAGGGGGTTTTCGTAATTTCACCATCACTCAGGGGTAGCAGTAAAAATAATTAGTTTAAAATTTAACGAATACACACGCTCAATGGGCCCAAGCCTGGCCCGTTAAGATTTAAGATTTTTTGGCCCATGGCTTAAAAGGGTTCCCAAATTGGGGGAAACGACGACAAATTTTGGCGCGAAAATGTAAAGTTCCCGCCATTTGTAACATTCGCACCGCCATTTTCATCCTTTCCATCTCGCAACACCGGATCTTGGGAGTGAAATACACATACAGATAGGAGAAAAATAGTAAAAAAAAAATAAAAAATGTCCGACGAGCAGCAGGCTGTGGGAGGCAGGAAGCGGGCCCGGGGCGTCACTGCCACGCCGCGTACGGAGGCACTCGAGCGTCTCAGGGCAATCCGACGCGGGGGGCGCCGTGAGATCGACGGCGGCGGCTTCCAGATCAGGATGGAGCAGCCAATTTACGACACCGTGGATGAAGACGAGTACACAGCTTTGGTCGCCAAGCGCCGCGAAGAAAATGAGGGTTTTATCGTCGACGACGATGGCCTAGGGTACGGCGACCAAGGCCAGGAAGAGGATTGGTCTCTCGCCGGAGGCTCTCTGTCCTCTGAAGAATCGGAGGGAGAATCTGGAAGGCTGAAGAAAAAGAAAAATAAATCCAATCCGGACAAGGAGAAGCAAACCGTGAAAAAACCAACCGCTCTGGCGTCGGCAGCCGCCTTGATGGGTAAGCAGAGCATTTCGAATATGTTTACTTCGTCCGTGTTTAAGAAAGACAAGCAAATGAATTTGACGTGTGATAGCATCGTTGATGATGTGATTGCTGAGTTTGCACCTGATGAGAGTGATAGGGAGAGAAGGAGGAGAGCCAATTCGATTAATTTGGGATCGAGTAAATTGAATGGTATTGCACCGCCTTCTTCGAGACTTTTACCTGTTAAAATCGAGAAGCCTGCTCTTAGTAGTGCTAATTTAGAGGTTAGGGATGAAATTAGTGAGATCAATGGCAGTTTTGATGATGC